ACAAAGACAGTTTTAGGCAGCATAGAGAGAGCAACTCACTGTTATCCAGTTAATCTTGATCAGGTTCAGGATTGCTCAGTTGTTGAAAGCTCTCACTCAAGCTTGGAAAAGTCATGTCACCCAACAAGTGGGCGCCATGGAGATGCTGAGGGAGGAGTCAGGTGAATTTGCAAAAAACAAGGATGACAACTTAAAAAAGGACATTAAATTGACAGATGAGGTACCTGTTGCAAAAGCTTATAATACAGTCCCTCGTGCACTTTAGGATGAATTTAAAAACCACATTCAGGACTTGTTGGGTAAAAGTTTTATATGAAAATCAACCTCACCTTATGCTTCATCTCTGGTGTGTGTAAGAAAACGTGAAGGAAGCCTTAGACTCTGTGTTGATTATAGAAATTTAAACAAAAAGACAATTCCAGACAGGCACCCTACACCACGCATTCATGAGATACTTGATGGACTTTGTGGTAAAATGTGGTTTAGTGTGCTTGATCGGGGCAAAGCGTACCATCAAGGTGAAATTAGTGAGGACTCAAAAAAATACACGTTTGAATGTTACTGTGAGATTTCATAACACTTTGAAGCAACTTTTGTTAAAGTTAAACTCATCATTCTTACATGTGCAGAAGCCAGTACTTTTCCCTTGTTTTGTCTATCTGAAGGCCAAGCTACATGGCACCGTGGAAGCTGCTGATTGGAGGTCTCCATGCCTCCGCTCTGTATAATACACTTGCATTCTGTCGTTCGTGTTGTTCGTGCTGTCTCTACCATTGACAATAAAACATGTCTTCTGTCTGAATGAAAGACGTGATCCTAGACTATGTCATCTTCTTCAGGTGGTGGAAGGATGCGGGCCTTGTCTGTAACATCTAGAGAACAGAAGACTACTTTTTTTTACACAAAAATGTGTTTTTTTTTTCAAGCCAAAACTGAAAAACCTCAAGAGAAACCATGCGTCTGGACCAGCACACTTGCACAATCTGCACAGCCCCTGATTCCATACAGGCCTGCTGTGAGCTGCTGAGACATGGACAATACCATCGTCCTCTTTTGCATGGACATCATTTGGAACAATTGGATTACACAATTTGGACATGATTTGGAACAATCTGGATTTCTGAATTTCTGAATTTGGACATCATTTGGACTGAATTGGATTGCTGAATCTGGACACTAAAGCTGAAACGTGTGATTTGAAAGACACGTCACAGAAGAATTCATGGCTCGACACAACAGATGCAGACTGAAGAAATCAACACGGAGAAGTGGGAGAGACTGTTTTCAAAGCAATATCTGGAACCATCGACTGATGAAGTTTGGTATTTTACTGAAGATTGTTGACAAGTTTTATGAAAGATCTGAACATGTTTTATGAGTTTTCTGAGTTTTTGAAGTATTCCGAGTTCTGAGTTTTTTGAAGTACCGAATGAAGTACCGAGTTTAAGTATTGAGTTATGATGTTATGTTGCTGTTTATTGATCCTGATGGTCACACGTGAATGTGTGACCAGAGGGGGGAATGTGAGATTTCATAACACTTTGAAGCAACTTTTGTTAAAGTTAAACTCATCGCCACCCCCCCGACCCAGAAATGGATTAAGGGGAAGAAAATGGATGGATGGATGGATTAAACTCATCATTCTTACATGTGCAGAAGCCAGTACTTTTCCCTTGTTTTGTCTATCTGAAGGCCAAGCTACATGGCACCGTGGAAGCTGCTGATTGGAGGTCTCCATGCCTCCGCTCTGTATAATACACTTGCATTCTGTTGTATCTGTTGTTCGTGTTGTTCGTGCTGTCTCTACCATCGACAATAAAACATGTCTTCTGTCTGAATGAAAGACGCGATCCCAGACTATGTCATCTTCTTCATTACGAATACGCGTTCGTAACACCCTGGGGGCTGTATGAATGGAACAGAATTCCATTCGGTCTCTTTAATGCACCTTCAGCTTTCCAGGTGCATTGAAGGTCTGCACGATAAAATATGCACTCCTTATCTCGATGATGTCCTTGTATACAGCAAGACCTTTGAACAGCATATTGAAGATTTGAGATAGTCCTAAATTACACAATTTGACTTTTTCAATGTAACAATTTCAAGAATTAGAATCTAAAGTGAAGAAAATGACGTCTAGAATCTTGTCTTTAATTCAGGCAGAAGACATGTTTTATTGTCGATGGTAGAGACAGCACGAACAAAGATGTTACAGAATGTACATGATATTATACAGCATGGAGGAATAGAGACCTCCTATCAGCATTCACCGAGGTGCCATTAGCTTCAACCTTGAGATAACCGAAGCCTGTAGTGGAAAAATACTGCCTTGTGCATATTGTTAGAATGATGAGTTATAACTTTAACCACAGTGTCATGAAATATCCAAAAAAGCATGAAAATAAATTTCCTTCGCATATCAGCAGCCATTTTTGTTGGCCTGACCAATACAATACAATTACAATACAATTTATTCTTGTATAGCCCTAAATCACATCAGAAGTCATCTCAGAGGACTTAACAAAACCATTGAAATCACCAACACAGATCGGAGAATCAACAGTTAAAACACAGATATATATATATATATATTAGTGTTCTATATATATATAGAACACATGTTTAAAAAAATGTACATACATGTTGTAGAACGTTAAAGTGTCCTGGATCATCACCACATCCTTTTTATTGGACACTAACTGTTCAACAGACCCTCCTGCATCGAGTGCAGTGAGACCGATCCGATAAATAGGATTTCCTCTGAGACCTATATCACATTCTAGCGTTCACAGTAGAATGCTGTGGTCTATTGTATCAAATGCAGCGCTGTCCATTATCCGCAGCTAGTAGTAAGTCATTTGTGACTTTGACCAGAGCCGTTTCAGTGCTGTAATGAGCTCTGAATCCGATTGAAAAACTTCAAACATATCATTTTCCTGCACGTGGCAGCAAAGCTGTTCAACTGTAAGCTTTTCCAGGATTTTGGATATGAAAGTAAGGTTCGAGATCAGTCTGTAGCTTGTAAGTAGTTCCGGATCCAGGTTTGTTTTCTTCAGAAGGGGTTTGATTACAGCGGTTTTAAAAGCTTGTGGGACATAGCCACATTGTATAGATGCGTTTATTATATTTAAGATATGCTCTTTTATCAAAGGAAGTGTGTCTTTAAAGAGCCAAGCCGGGATTGCATTTAAAGTGCAAGTTGAGGCTTTAGAAGATGCGACCACAGAGATTACTTCCTCTTGGCTCACAGCCGTGAACTTGTCAAGGCACAATGAAGAGTCCAGGTAGGAAATCAAGTGCAATACTTCAGCCTGTCCATCACTAACACTAGGAGTGGTGTCCTCCAGTTTGTCACGGATGGATGTAATTTTAAGCCTAGCGTACATCGACAGAGAAACTGGGGACAACTAGTTGCAAGGCGGCTTTTGGCAACTGAGAGGAGATGGTGGGAAATGATCAGTTGCCGAAATCGGTCGATGTGCGCGCTCTTACAACTGGAGATGATCAGTCGGTCTCCAGTTCCAGTCAGTTGCCCGTGTTCTACTTTTCGGCAACTAGTTGTCCTCAGTTGCCCCGATGTGCGCGCTCCATGCGCCGCTCCAACAACGTGTGTGTATTGCGTGTATTGCGAGCCCGCAACAGTTTGTTGTCAGAAAACACACTGTAGTTGAGGCCAGTTGCTGTCGATGTACGCGCTGTTATTCAAGAGACTGGCCTGCGACTCAGAGTTGCCCGTTTTCGCCAGATTGTCGATGTGTGCGGGGCAGCAACTCAGAGGCGACGGATATAATCAGTTGCCAGTCCGATGTACGCTAGGCTTTATAATTAAAGAAGTGAAGAAAATTGACACTGCTCAGTGATGTTGTTTGTATTCGCTTCTATTAAAGTTGAATAGTGTTGAGTTTGAGCCCTACAAAGAGCATTCTTGTAGTTTTGGAGACCTGCTTTCCACTCCCTGAGGGCAGGCTCCGAGTGGGAGTGGTGATATAGCCTCTCCAGTTTTCTGACATCCTGTTTTAAAGTATGCAGTTGGATACTGTACCATGGTGACGATGATCTAATCCTAATAGTTTTCTGTTTTATAGGAGCTGCTGCATTTAATGCAGATTTTAAAGACTCCATAGTGTAGTCCACAGTTTGGTCGATGACAGAAGGACTACAGCAGCTGTGAGCAGGTTCACCTGCAGCAGTATTCAACATGTACTAGCTGTACTAGTTCTTTGAACCTTGTGATAGATATCATTCAAGGTTCTTTTCATTATGGAAAAGTCCTCCAAAGCGAGATCAAAAGTGATCAAGAAATGATCAGACAGCAACGAGCTTTGACGCTGAACGTCAATATTAGAAACCTCACTACCGTAGGTCAGGACAAGGTCCAAAGTGTGGTTATGAATGTGAGTAGGTTCCTCAACATTCTGAGTAAAAACAACACATTCTAATACTTTGTTTGAAAGCTTTGTTTAAACTGTCGGTGCTGTCGTCCACATGTATATTGAAGTCTCCAGTTATAACTATGTTTTCCCATTCCAAAACTAGGTTTGAAATGAAATCATAGAATTCTGTTAGGGACTCACTGTAAGGACCAGGAGGTCTGTATAAAACTATAAATAACACAGCTTTTTGTTTTCTCCATCCATGACAGGTGATTGAAGAGCATCACCTCTTTTCAAACGAAAGAAAGGCATTGTTGGTTTAAGGACATAGAAGTAAGTTGGTGTGCGATATGATAGCAACACCGACACCGCGGCCTGTAGTTCTCGCTTTCTGGTAGTTAACATGAAGTCTCCGAGAGTACAAGTAAATCCAAGTTGTTTTCTTTAATACGTTTGTTTATAAGAAGCAATTTAGACGAGATTTAGACCACCACTTCATTAACCCGAAGTTGATGCGTCACGTGACTGCAAGCCAAGAATACTCCGTGAGAAGCCAGTGGAATCTAGTATGAAATCTATTGAAACTCCATTGAACTCTAGAATACTGGTTTCTCTGGCTGTGTACAGTTTTGGCGTTACGGCGAGTGGATCGATGTGTTAGTGGACGACCGGATCCCCACCTGCAAGAACCAGCTGGTCTTCACCAAGTCTTTCAGAAAGAATGAGTACTGGAGTGCACTGCTGGAGAAGGCCTACGCAAAGTAAGTCTTGTCACCCATAGACGATCTTCAGTTCATATTCAGATAAAAAATGCCAGGGTTGCATACTGTCTTAAATATTTCAAATCTCTCACACAAGTATGTGTCTTTTCAGAATCAGAATCATTTTTGAGTAATCATCATTTAAGTAACAGGAAGTCACAAACTAGGAAATTGCTTTGGCTCGGTGCAACAGTCAGAAAGAGAGGTAAAGAATAGAGTAAGGCATAATAAAGAAAAATCAACAATACTTCTCAGGTATAACATTTAAAATAGAATTATTACAAGTAAACATGGTGCACACAATATGCAGTAAGCAATGCAACAGCAGTAAAGTGACGTTATGATGGGCAGTAAAGTGCCTTTATAAAGGACGGGGGGACAGGTAATGAAGTGTTCAAGAGTCCGACAGCAGAGGGGAAAAAAACCTTTTTGTTTTTTTTATACAGTGCCTTGCAAAAGTAATCAGCCCCCTTCAACCTTTCAACATTTCGCCACATTTCAGGCTTCAAACATAAAGATAAGATTTTTTTTTTTTTCATGAATCAACAACAAGTGGGACACAATCGTGAAGTGGAACGAAATTTATTGGATAATTTAAACTTTTTTAACAAATAAAAAACTGAAAAGTGGGGCGTGCAATATTATTCGGCCCCTTTACTTTCAGTGCAGCAAACTCACTCCAGAAGTTCAGTGAGGATCTTTGAATGATCCAATGTTGTCCTAAATGACTGATGATGATAAATAGAATGCACCTGTGTGTAATCAAGTCTCCGTATAAATGCACCTACTCTTTGATAGTCTCAGGGTTCTGTTTAAAGCGCAGAGAGAACCATGAAGACAAAGGAACACACCAGGCAGGTCCGAGATACTGTTGTGGAGAAGTTTAATGCCGGATTTGGATACAAAAAAGATCTCCCAAGTTTAAACATCTCAAGGAGCACTGTGCAAGCAATTATATTGAAATGGAAGGAGTATCAGACCACTGCAAATCTACCAAGACCCGGCCGTCCCTCCAAACTTTCATCTCAAACAAGGAGAAGACTGATCAGCCAAGAGGCCCATGATCACTCTGGATGAACTGCAGATAACTACAGCTGAGGTGGGAGAGTCTGTCCATAGGACAACAATCAGTCGTGCACTGTACAAATCTGGCCTTTATGGAAGAGTGGCAAGAAGAAAGCCATTTCTCAAAGATATCCATAAAAAGTCTTGTTTAAAGTTTGCCACAAGCCACCTGGGAGACACACCAAACATGTGGAAGAAGGTGCTCTGGTCAGATGAAACAAATCGAACTTTTTGGCCACAATGCAAAGCGATATTTTTGGCGTAAAAGCAACACAGCTCATCACCCTGAACACACCATCCCCACCTCAGCTGTAGTTATCTGCAGTTCATCCAGAGTGATCATGGGCCTCTTGGCTGCATCTCTGATCAGTCTTCTCCTTGTTTGAGATGAAAGTTTGGAGGGACGGCCGGGTCTTGGCAGATTTGCAGTGGTCTGATACTCCTTCCATTTCAATATAATTGCTTGCACAGTGCTCCTTGAGATGTTTAAAGCTTGGGAAATCTTTTTGTATCCAAATCCGGCTTTAAACTTCTCCACAACAGTATCTCGGACCTGCCTGGTGTGTTCCTTTGACTTCATGGTTCTCTCTGGTCATTCAGGCAGTGAAAAGTGCTGAGTAGAGTCTGAGCGGGCCGCTCGTTCTCCTCCACTCACAGAACGACCAGCGAACAGCCTGCGTCCTCTAGCCCCTACAGCGCTGCTTAACACCAGGGCTTCGACTTCAAAATTCGAATATAATTCTAAAATAAAAATATATACATATCTGAGCAAATATTAAACAACCCTTATAATTAGAAATGTATTTAATGACTGCAAATAAAATAGTTAGCTCCCAAAGGTTTCACCGGGACGTGCTAGGCAGGTAACAGCTAAGCTAGCTAGCTGTTTCATGGTAACTTCCGGGTTTTTCGCGATCGCTTTTTGTCACTTTAAAACAGTATTTTTGTCATGAAAACGTTGACAGCAAATTCTGAAATCGTCCGTGCATGTGTGTTAAGGATGTATATGTATACTGTATTGTCCGATTGACGTTTAATGGTGTTGATTGATTGATACGTATTTGTTTATTGAGCTCCGCTAGCTTCTCTACACAGACAAGTGTGCAAAAAAACTGCACGATGTAGTGACAGGCGCTGATAGCTTGTTGTACTTGCAAAGTAATGGCAGTATTTTACACACCTGAATTACAAACAGAGATTGCATTGGGGCTGCGGTCATTATTGGTTTGAGAGTTCTGTTATCAAGAAAAAATGATCGGAAGAATTGCATTCAATTCAATGGAGTGCTGTTGCTGTGAGGAGCTGTATAATACATTATAATTAAATATTAAAATATATTCTAATGTTTAAATTAATACATTTGGACGCAAAACTAATGGTATTCTTTTACTTATATATTGTGTTAGCAGTACACTGCTTTAGTACCATTTCATCAGTGATTGTTGCACAGCTTACAAGTTGCGCTAATGCTAATGTTAGCATACGTATCAGATCGCAAATAAAACTAGGTGGCTCCGTGTTATGAGAGCGTAGGGGAAATGAGAAGCCTGTGAGCGAGTTGGGGGGCGGTGCTAAACATTCAAACATTGCAGAAACGGGTATAGCGCCTTTAAGTTTCATTCCAATATCATTCCCTCCTTTTTATCCTTTTGATAAATCAAACAATCTATGTTTAAACATGGAGAACATGGAGAACTGAAAATGAAAAAACACACATCCAAACTGAAAAAGAAAAAAATGTCATAGTATAATTTCACATTGTTGTTCCATAAACTATTCCCCCTGTTGAGACATACATGGCTCAAAACTGAACAGTGTATTAACCTTGAAATGTATTAACTTTGGTTATCAAATTCAACACCACGCACACGCCCAAAATCCCGAAAACCCAAAGTCCATTTTCACAGTCCATAGTCAGCCCATTTGACACGTCCTCTCGACCCCTCCTCATGTTTGGTTATGACCAGAAATGTCCACTCTGTTCCTGTTTCGAAACTCTTCTCTGTCTGCGTTTCCGACGCAAGACTAGCAGCAAGCCGTTCTCCAACAGCGACACAAAGCTGAACTTTCAAGTTGCAAATGTACCAAGATGTCACCTTCAATTCTCACGTCCATTTAACTTGAGCAAACGGCCAGCGCCCTCCGTGGGCCTGCGCGCTTTGATCTTTGCAAATCGGCCCGTGATTATTCGTCAGCAGCTTCCGGTGTGGGGGGGGGGGGGGGGGGGGGGAAACAGGTGGATTTTGTTGCTTTGAAGCTTTTGCAGGGATGTGGCATTTTCTCAAAAACAAGAAGCACATTTGTTAATACATTTCAGAATCAAAACATAAGGTGAAGGGTAATTCTAAACCAAGAAATCTTTGACAAAGGAAAACGAAGAGGACACACAGAACAAAGAAGGACACAGACAAACAAAGAAACACATGGCCAGAGGACAAAGGACCACATGGCCACCCAAAATGGCGGTCTATCTACTTTTTGCAATGTCCAATTCCAAATGTTGAGTAATTAGAGGTCTTTAAACATCCAATTTCAATTTAGCTTATTTAGATGTCTATAAATGTCCAATTTCAGTTTAGAAGTGATATAGAAGTTCAGTCTGAAGTAATTCAATTCTAACACATTCATCATACAGGCGTAACTCTGCGTTACCCTTTTGAATGAAACCCCGTTCATTCGAGCTCTGTAAAAGTCCTTGACTAAAGGTATAACTCTGCGTTATCCTAAATGAACGCCCCGTTCATCGAGCTCCACACTACTCTCTTGAATTATTCGTAGTGTAATAAAGTCCCAGACTCAAGCATAATTTCTGCGTTTTCCTAAATGAATGTGTTCATGTGAACTTCACACTACTTCCTGAATTACTTTTGGACATAATTTAGAGTGTACAGAACTTGCCTTTGTTGCGATTTCATCAGGAAAAAACTGTAGTTCTCCCGTCGACTCCAACCCAGGGCTGTCCTGCCTCAAACCTGAAGTTCCAATGCAGTTCCGAATGCAGAAGGCCTTGTTGTTGCTCCTGGAAGTCCATGTTTGAGACAAGCTCAGCTCCTGTAAGAAGTGTTGGGATCCGGATTCGAAGGACCAAGCGATAATGCTGTTTCAACCACAGTTGAACCTGATGAAATCTCACACAACAAAGAGACAAAGTTAATCTTTTACTTGTTACGTTGTACAAGGAGAATGTCTTGACAGAGGCAAGGCACAGACCCTAGCCTCTCTCAGGACAAGTCTGAAGATTCACAGTCTGCAAGCCCCTTTTGGTAGAACAAGACACACCTTCGTATGCAGATGGGAAAGGAAGAAACCAACACAAAAGACACTTAGCATATGAGCTCCCCAGACCTCCCGGTGTCTTCCTGAAGCTAAAGTGAATTACAATACAGAGCATTCAGCACATAGTCACATATGATTTACCAAAATGATAACTTAAGTTACATTCCAATATCAGTATTGCAGATTTGGTGGACTCTCAACAAAATCTAGGCCTTTAAAAAACAAGCCAGGAGCATAGTAAGGGTCGATAATATTCAACCGCTTGAGTTTGGCAATATACCGTGCCTTATCAATGTCATTAAATGACGCTGTGAACTCCGAAAGTAACAATTTTCCACCGCTGTCATTCATTGTTTTTAGCTTGGGGCCGCTGTTTATTCCTGCCGTAATGGTGTCGCTAACATCGTTGGTCACGTGGGGTCCGGAGCTCTATAGTTCATCCCGGAGCCTCACCCTGAGGTGCTCCTTGAATTCCCCCAAAGTTTCACGAGAGACACAGTCAGAGTCCAGCATGTTCCACATCCTGGTGGCCAGAATGAGACACGATCCTTGCACGATGTGGGCACTGGGTAGTAAGGCTGGGCGATATATACGGTATAAGCGGTATGCGGTAGCCCACGGTAGAAATTTTGTTATACCGGCATATTGCGATAGGTCAT